CCAGGGCACCAAGGGCAGTGGTTCTGTCCCTGGAAAGTCTCCCCTCACTGCCACCTGCAGAGGGCTCGTTAGGATCGACTCAGCACCTAGCACGGTTGACACAGTGCTTGGCCAGGAGTGGCACCACATGTTCATGCCTATCAGCATCTGCTTTGTGCCCCCACAGTATAGGAACTGATCCCCCAAAGGGCACCTCTGTAGCTGGCTGGCTCTTCAGCTGGCCATTCTAAGTGGTGCAGAAGAACAGACCCTAATAATTTAAAATTCCTCCACTATTAAACGCCATCAGAAGAATTATTTCATAAATTGGAATAATGAAATGTTTAGGAAAGACTATATTCCAGGAGAATTAGGAATTTTAATGCAAGGAATTAAGAAAAAAATTGGCTTGTCAGATGCTCTAGGCCTTTTAAGTAGGAGCTGAAAGGAAAAGAGTGATGGACTTGTGGTTTATGGCTGAGGCACATATATTTCAATTAAAAATTCAGTGTAGACAAATGGAAAATACTAATATGGGAGATGATACGGAAAATAATATAGAATTCTTAGTGTGGAAAGAATTCTTAAAACTCAGTGACAACTTCCCCTGTTGGCCAAATGAAAGTTTATTAAATGTTATACATACATGGTCAATGAATAAGAAAAACATTAGAAGTCACCTGCCCCACTCCCCTTTTAAGGGAGGAAATATTCCTGATCAAGTAAAACAAAACAAAAACCTTGCATCAACTAGAGTATTGATGACGAATTAGGATAATAGAGATCTCATAGGTATTCTAACACATGTTCACATTCTTCACTTTTCTTGTCAGTTCAAATAACCTGACAGTTTCCTAATTTCACGTGCTCTTTTTGTCATGTTGCTCCAAAGTAACCGCCGATCTCTTTACAGCAAAAGAGAACCCTCAGCAGCCATGGTGCTGCTCGACTTTGCGCGCATACCAGTAGTTCTTGCTGTGTAAATAGGAGCTCGGATTGGGGAACTGTAGGCATTGAGCTTCCTTGGTATCCTGTTAGAAGCAAAGGTTCTGAGAGGCTGGTGGGCCTCGGAGTTCTGCGGCCCGTGAGGCACCACCTTGTCCAGGAGTGGGGTCTTGGGTCAGCTGCTGTGGCCTGAGTTGGCCTGGGAAGCGATTGTCATGTGCGTAGTGCTTCAGGTCTCTGCTCCATCTGCAGGGGATTGAACATTAGCGTTCTATTGCTGCTTTCCTGGAAAGAAGAGGGGCCTCCATCTAGAACCTTCCTTCTGGTATTGTCATTTCAGTTACTTTCTACCATGCAGATAATTCCCTTTAGAAATGGGTTTTTTAGAAAACCTCTTCAGTCGCTGTGATGTCCTCCTCCTTGTTAGCTTTCTCTCGGATAAACCTGTGTCCTTGGATTCTGTTAGCCCATCCAGAGAACCCTAGAAAGAGCATGACTTGTCCCGTTCCTCAGAGCTGCTGCATGGCAGAGTGACTCAGCGCTCCCCTGGGGATCCTGCCTAGCGAGCAGAGAGCCGCTGTGCAGGGCCCGCGACCCCATCCCCCCATCCGCTGCTCTGCGTGGCAGCCTCATCTCCCCACTCCTTCCACACGTGTGTGAGTTGGAAGGTTCTTTGTTTTAATCACATCAGTTCTGTTTGGTGATTTTTTTTTTTTTTGCAACCGAGGGCATATAGCTGTATCAGAAATAAATACATGCTTCAAGTAATATCAACATTACCTCAGATTGTTCAGATGGATGGTAACCTGTATCTACATCAACCGTCTTTAGAAATGAAAACGTAGAGAACCAGCTCCATGTCCCCGCCCCCTTCCCATTCCCAGTTTCGTGGCTTTGCGGGAGTCCTAGGGTGTCCAGCTGAATTTATAGTTTTATAGTTCATACTTTTACTAGCCAATTTCTCTTGTTGGGAAAAATATTCACTGAAATGACTTGTTCTCCTTACAAGCAGCACCATCTCCCTTCTGAGTGGGGTGTGGTGGCGCATCCTTCCTGACGCCATGTCGCCTTTCTCAATCCTGTCACCGCGCTCTGCTCCTGGGAGTGGCGGAGTGTCACCCTTCCGTCTGTATCCGTGCCCCCTGGGTCTTGCTGGTTGTTCCCATCATGAACTGGGGGTTTGGTCTGGGCAAGGGTATCTCTGGCGCGTCCATGCCTGAAGCCAGGCCTGGCACACACAGATGCAAGGGGCCTGGCACTGGCAGCCCTGAGTCTTCCTGTGTGTTACTGCTTAGTGTAAGTTCTCTCTTGATCCTTGTAGTGCCCACCGCAGTGTTAGTAGGAAATAGATTGCTCTCAGTGTTACCGGTTTCACAACCAAGGATACACAAATAGCTTGGTCAGTCATACCCCTCTTTTTGGTGTCATTTCTTTCTCTTTCTTTTGGCCCTTGGGTTGAAAAATAAAACAGTGAAATAAAAATAAAAATAAAAATAAAATAAAAATAAAATAAAAATTAAAAAGAATGAGAAATGCGGAGTGTGGGATATGAGCACGGCCCACGCCCTGGTCTGTGCAGAGGATGGGTTACCAGACCACCAGCTCATGCCAGACCCTGGGCCGCTCAAGTCCCTGCTGTAAATGCCAGCTTGTAGCCTGCACACATCTCCCCACATCCTTCACATCACCCCCAAGTTACGTAAAGCACCTTACACCGTATGCGTGCTGTGCCAGGGGTTATTAGATGGTTTTAACTGGGGAATGACAGGAAGAGGGGTTTGCTAATGCTCCGTGTGGATGTGATGTTTTAGAACAGTGCTTGGGTCTGAGCTTGCTTGGAGGGCGCAGGCCCGTGGGAAGTTGCTGGCTTAAGTGCTCCACTTTGTGTCACCCACTTGAGTGAACTGTGTCTAAGCCTCTCAGCTTTGAAGAGTTTTCATATTTAGAAATGATCTGAATCCTAACTGGAAACTAGAGAAACAATATATTATTCCTGTTGCTTTGCTTTTCTCTTCTAACCTTGTGTCACTTCCTAATCAGTAGTGTGAAGGCAGTTGAAGCCAACAGTGCTGAGGGGAATATGTCCAAATAATTGAACTTCATTCTGTTTAGCAGAAAAAGAAAGTTTTATTCAACCAGATAATGAGTTTGTAGCGATTTTTTTAGTTGATATTTTATTTTTAAAGCAGCAGCCTTGTATAATTTTATGGTTAGATGTCTTTTAGAGAAAAAGCAAAGAACCAAAACTAGTTTATCTGCAGTTCCAGTTTGATTTGGTAGAGAAAATAATATAGTTAAGCTCATTCTGCAAGTGTTGCTATTTTGCAAGTTTTACAGGAAGAAACATTATTGTACAGTGGTTAGGCAGGACGGCAGTAGTAACATTAAACATTATCAGTAAACAGTAGAAAACAGAAGTTTTTAGCTGTCCAGATTTTAAATGTTTGTGTTATTGTTAGCCGTTTAACATCCCCCCCTTTCGATAGAGGGGGATAGGCAAATTCATTTTGTAAAGAAAAACTTTTCATGTTATAGTGAATATCAACAGATAGGTGGGATCTGCTTGACTGTATTTAGAATGTAGGTGTTGTGTACAGTGAGGGGAGAAGGGTGTGGTTGGTACTTCCTGCAGTGCTGGCTTGGGAGCGGGGCAGGTGACCAGCAATGGCAGGTGCAAGTGGTGCAGAGGTGGTTTGAGTTGAACATCTGTAAGCCGTGTTAGCTTCCTGGCTTTTCAGTCCTTTTCATCATTGTTCACATGTTTAAATAGTACATATTTTCATTTGTTTCACTAATTTTTATTGGCTCATCCTTAGTAAAATCTATTCCATAAGTTTAAAAATCACATTATGCATAACTTACGGGTTTTTGTTTCTCTCTTTGTTTAACTCAAGCCAAGGAAAATTTATTAACAAGCAAGCCTCAGCTCTTTTGGAAGATAAAATTCCTGGACATGTTAGCTTACATGGCAGCCTGACAGGAGGAACAGGTGTGGTGACAGATGTGCCCTGTGGCCCACCCGTTTCTGTGGTCTGGCAGCCATCTTGACTTGGTTTCTTTTTCTGTGAATGTTTCTATTACCATGTTTGTACTTCAGTTTCTGTAATGAATGAATGATTTGTGGTATCCTTCCTATATTCTTTTCATCTAAAGCAAACAAAGTTCCTCCCTCTCTTGGGCGGGTCTGTGCTTATTGATAACAGTCAGGAATGTGCTTCTTGTTGGGAGAGCACGCAGACACTGACCAGTCCAGCCATGCAGCTGTGTGAGAGCCCTTGCATGGAGTGCTAGGGGTGTCTGATGGAGCACTTCCAGCGGAGGGCAACTTGCTGCTGGTTTGTATCCACAGCTCCGGGAAGACGCTAGCTCTGGTTACTTGTGTAGTTCCTAATCAGAAGCTTTGAGATCCAGAATACTCCAACATCTGAAACTGTTTGAGTGGCAGCATGATGCCACAATGAAAATTCTGTACTTGATCAGATATGATGTGTTACAGTAAAAACGTAAGTGCACTGAAAACACATATGTGAAGTACAGATGAGCCATGTTTAGGTTTGGATCCTGTCCCCAACATCTGCATGTGCCTCTGCTCCTGGGCTTGTCCCCATCGACCGCACCTTCCCTTCATCCCTGACCTTCAGTTCTGTTTTCTGTGGAATGACCTCATTACCTTGGCCAGGATTGCAGTATATGACGAGTGAGAAGTAAAATCCTTTTCTCGTTTCAGAGTATTAACATTCTCATTTTCTTTCTTTTTTATACTGTGGTGGGAAAAGCAGGAGCTGTTTCTGTTGCCTTTGGAGCCTGGGTGGCTGCTTCCTGGCTGGTGTTCTCCCCGTGAAGGGAATGTGCAATGGCAGGACGCTGCTTTAAGTGAATATGAAAACTGAACGAGACGGCTACCCTCCCTGCCCTGTTGGGGCTAAAGTTTTCTTTCTGGCATGTTTTTACTTTAATAAATAAATGCTTTCCACTGCTCAAAATAAAGTGATATTGTTAACCTACTTTGATTGTTCTTTACGATTTTGGTTCCCTGACTAGACCTATGTTTACAAGTACATGTCTTTGTTTTACAGATATATGGAGTCTCGGAGTGATCTTGTTCATGCTGGTGTGTGGGCAGCCACCCTTCCAAGAGGCCAATGACAGCGAGACCTTGACCATGATCATGGACTGCAAGTACACAGTGCCCTCCCATGTGTCCAAGGAGTGTAAGGAGTAAGTCTACAGAGTGGGAGGAACCTTGGGTGCGTTGGCATGTCCCATGAATTGGAGGGAGCTGCAACTTCAGACAAATGAGCTACTTTGCGTTTTAAATTTAGTGTCTGCTGTTCAGAATATCTGGAGAAAAGGGCAAGGTGACTTGAAATTTAACACTAGAGTACAAAATGTGCTAAATTCTTCCCATAAGTACACTTGTTTTCAGAAGTCCATCGCACGCCTCTCCATTCTCCAGGAGTGGCAGTTACTTCACGGGGAGTGGAGATGTTACCAAGCAACTGCCTTTCCCTCAGCAGAGAGCAGGACTGCCCGGATGGTTTTATGTTCTAGAGAAGGGTTGGGGTCATTTTCTGTCTGACTAGATGAACAGTGTGTTGTTTAGGATTTACAAGCCTGTCTCAGAGTCGCACTGCACACGTTCCTCCCCCCAGGTAACTGAGCAGTTCTGTTTTGGTGTATGTGATGCAGGAAGCATTAGTCAACAGTAAGCTCGAAGTCTGATCTACTTGTTCAGAAACAGTGATGGAATAAGCCTATTAGAAATCGGCTAGTTCTTCAGTATTGCGAATGCTGGTTTTGAGCTCTGCTAAGAGTAAAACCACTACTTAAAGGATTTTGCTGTTTTAACAGTTTTCAGTTTCTCAGCTGGTAAGACTTGAGGAACTTTTTCTGTGATCCGAGTGCCTTCTTTGGCGGATGTTTAATAACGTATGTATTTAAACCCCACATTTACCTTCTGGCTTCTCCAATTACCAATGTTGTGGCAAGGATCCATCTTATAGGATTACTGTGAAAACTAAAAGAATGTGTGTATATACATATAGTTTGTAATTCAAAGAGTATCTCCACAGTTAAAAGAGGAAAACATTTATTTGTAGATTGGCTTATACTACTCAAAATGTATGCATTTCCCATCGTCCAGCCTGAGGAACAGAACAGCTATTCCTCTCTCAGGCCATCTCTGTTTCTCCCTGTCAGAGCTGATGCGTTTTGCTGAACTTTCTCCCGTTTGCATTTTTTGTTATCAGCCCTTGCTGAATGTGTGCCATGTCTCTGAGTACTCTATGGCTTTGCACTTTTTCAGTCTTTATCTCATTCATTTTCAGGGGTTGATGAGGTGCTGTTTTCCCTCATTTGTCTTCCTCCACCCCCAAAATATGGAAAGTTATATTTTAAGGATTTTCCTGTTTAAATATACAAATATGTCATATGTGATTAATGTAATAAAATTTATAGTTAATCCTCATCTTTATTCTGTTCCTAAATAATACAAATTTCTCATAACACCTATTATGTTAGTTTCTTTTATTCTAACTAACTGCACAAATTAGATAATTTTTACTATTCTGAATACCCAAAAATTATTTATAATCACCAGTTGTTTGGTGGGAATTTTGTTCACCTTTCCAGTTGGGAGCACAAATTAGTTATTTTTAATGTCTTTTGATGATGGGCTTTGCCGGCTTTCATCAGAACACGTGTTGCATGTCCTGCACTCCGGACAGCGAGTGCAGCATCAGGGCGACTGTCCTGCCCTCGGGGACGTGGCGCTCCACTGTCTCCTGGCGTGTGGCCGCTGCCCGACTCAGGCAGCTGTGCGTAACCTGCCATCTGTGCCAGCTGCTTTGGGAGCTTCTGTTTGTTGCAAATAGGGTGTGTCAGGGCTTCCTGGTTCTGTTTTTTTGTTTGTTTGTTTGTTTGTTTGTTTGATGAATTTGGAAAATTCTCAGCCATTTATTTTCAGATGCTTTTCTCAGTATAAGTTTGATATTTTCATCCTACATTCCTTGTGTTTTAGCTTCTTTCTTTTCTGTCTCTGCAGTATGTAATTACTCAACTTTTTCTTTAGATCAGTTTTTTTTTTTTTACTTCCAGTTTAAAATTTGCCCCTTAAGTTTTTTAGCTACAGTGGTTATTTTTGACTTATGGAAGCCCATTTACCTTTTTCTGCACACTGTAATGATAACGATTACAAAAAGCCCTTTTACTCCTTGATCATGTTTGTTGTCTGTGTCTGAAGATTGCAGTGGGGGAAGAATTTGTGTTCTGATTGTGTTCTGTGGTGGGCCACTGGGATGTCTTCCTTCCTTTGTGGTTTTTTTTTTTTTTGGCTGTGATATTTTGTTACTCTAGTTGGGGAATCCCTTGAAGTCTTGTTTTACATTACATTGCCACAGAAAGACTGTTTAATTTGCTTTGTGCATTGTTGTGTCCATTACTTGTCCAGGTGTACTTGCAGAAGAAACAGTTTGATGCTAGTTTCGCTAGGTACACCGCATGGATGTTGGTAACTTGGACCGTGGGTCTGTGGGGACAGCCTGTGGTTAGACATGTCAGGAAGCAGTTTTCCCTGCGCATGCGCGCTGTCAGTGCTCACCAGGGCAGGCACATTTTCTTGGCTCTCTGGGCACTGGGCCGCTTCCTTCCTCTTCCTCACCGTCTCCTGAGGCTGGCTGCTGAGCTCTGTGCTGGGCAGGCACTGGACCACACACAGGTGGCTGCATGCACTAGCAGGCCAGCATTGCTGTTTGCCTCCTTAGGTCTTACTTTTGTTTGCTCAGTTATTTTGCCAACCTAGTGCTGTTCAAAAGTATTTCAGCAAGTGTCTTAGGTGATGTGGAGCTGTTTTCGTCAGCAAGATCCTTTCCCTGAGAACAGGAGTTGGTTCGGGCATTCTTTGTCATTGATGATCATTGAATCTCACCATTAAGCGGGCACTTAATTCAAGCACAGGTGGTCAGACTTAGAGTGAATGCTAGATGATAGGGCGTTGTGCCTTCTTTCTTTGACAAGAAATGCTGCCTCTAAATTGTCATCATTCCTGCGAGGATGTTCAGTGAAAGGAGCCAGCATCGTGAACCCTTGCGGACGGTTTGCTGTAGCTGTGGTCCTCCCTTTTTTCCAGCCTGATCACCCGGATGCTGCAGAGAGATCCCAAGAAAAGGGCCTCTTTAGAGGAGATCGAGAATCATGCTTGGCTTCAAGGAGTGGACCCTTCACCAGCCACCAAGTACAACATCCCCCTGGTGTCGTACAAAAATCTCTCGGAAGAGGAGCACAACAGCATCATCCAGCGCATGGTGCTGGGCGACATCGCAGACCGAGATGCTATCGTGGAGTAAGTGTGCGCTGCGGGGCAGGACCTGTGGCTGGAGCTGGGCCGCTCCCCTCTAGCATTCCTGGGCTCATGCCTGGCGCAGCTGTAACCTGTCTTGTTTTTGTAGGGTGAACAAGTTGGCTGTGGTAGCAGTGGCTGTGAACACTGTGGCCTTGATCCCGTGGGAGCATTCTCCTCATGTCGGGGTCCACTAGTGGTCCCCACAGGCATGAGTTGGGTATCAAGCATCAGAGACCTTGGCCTTGGGGGTGCTGGTGCGTGAGCCCTGGTGCACAGTTGTCAGTGGCAGCAGAGTGACTGCACTTCCCACAAAGTTTAGAAGTTTACTCACTGGTCCTTCTGAGGCCTTGCTGCAGCAACCTGTTAATTAAATTCATTTAGAGAGTGTTAATTAAGTCCTTTAAAAGCAAAGCCAGACATTAGTAATCTATGGAGTTTGCAATAAAGGCTGATGTAAAGAGGCAGTGGCTTCTTTCTGACAACAGTTAACTCACGTGATGGTTCCAACTCTAAAAATATGAGCATTTCCATGGAGGCAAAAGCTGTTTAATGTGTTGCATGAACGGTTCGATATAATGGAATAGAAGAGAGCAGGTGTGTTCTGGTAGGTAACAAAAGCGGACTGTGTTGGCAGAGCCTCTCTGGCCGGGCTGGGCATCTGGCTTAGATCCCCTGGAGGAGGGGGCTGCAGGCTGAGCTGTTGTTGCCCTGTCGCCAGCAGCCAAGTGGGGGCGCTGTGCTCTGAGGAGGGCGGTGTGTGGATGCATGGGTGAGGAAGCCCAGGTTCTAACTCGCGCGTATGTGGAGCTTTCTGCAGCTTTCTAGGGGCACTGTGGGTCTTCACAGATGGCTCCGGACCTGCTTCAGTGACCTCAGCAAGCACAGCCTTGGCTGCTTCTGCTGCAAACACTTTGGGAATGTGTAGGAAATGGTTTTCCATTTTTGAGTAAAAGGCAATTTGTATCTTCCTAAATTGGCCTGATTTTCTTAGCTTAAACGCAGCATGAATGTAATGGTGTCATATAGAACTGTTTGATGTAAACTGAGTTTTAATTCCAAAGGGAAACACAGCTTGGATGGTGCGGGTGCCTCCTTCCTCCCACCCCATACCCCGGGCGTGGTGGGCACTAGAGAACCACGCGGGCGGCCTGCTGCTCCTGCAGTTTGTCCCCTGCTCGCGAGGCAGCTACCTGGGGCTGGCTGGAGGAGCCTTGCTTAGGCCTTGGGCTTTGCCGTCTCCATTAGTTCTGGTCCCACTGTGCATTTCGGAAAATTTCATTTCTACTATTGTGTCCTTCCTAAGGGTTCCTCTGTGTTTTAACTGACTGCAGGTGGCTTCTGGGCCCGTGCAATCCCCCGGAGCCCTCTCCAGCCAGCTGCAGCAGAGTGGGCAGGGCTAAGGGCCTGGATGGGCTTAATGCCCCCACCCTCTGGCCAGTGCAGCACCTAGCTACATGAGATATTCTCTAAGATGACTGTTTGATTTGGTTTTTGTTTTTAAGTGTTTACTTGTTTGAGATACAAAGAAAACATTTACTGGTTCATTTCCAAATGCCCACAGTGGGCAGGGCTGGGGGCCAAGGCTTTAGGCTAGGAGCCAGTATTCGATCCTAGTTTCCTGTGTGGGTGGCAGGCACCCATAAGCCATCACTTGCTGGATCCCCATGTCTGCAGCACCAGGAAGCTGGAGTTAGGAGCCAGAAGAGGGACTTGAACCCAGGCACTCCAGTGTGAAACACAGTCTTAACTGGTACATTAACCACTAAGCTAAGTGCCATGGCCTGGCTTTGATTTTATTCACAGAAGAATTTAATGATATGTCCTTAACAATGTGGTGGTTCCCCAGCCCCGGGGCACCTGGGTCTAACTGATCTTGTCTTGGTCGTTCTCTTGTGAAGCGCACGGGCAGTGCGCCAGGCAGTCACTTCGCACTGGGCGTGTGCATGATGTGCTGCCCTGAAAGCTCTGCGCCCTTTCCCCAGGCACCAGATGCTGGCATCTCAGTTCTGTCAGTGGCCTGCACGGCCCCTCGCCAACATGGATGCTTTCATGCAGTCACTTTTTGAATTTCAAGAGTGACCTAAATTACTATTGGCTGGGTTTTTCAGGGTTGCATTTTGCTTGCTTTTAAAGATTCCAAGGCGCAAATGTCAAATCGGTCGTACTTCGCGTGAAAAGCAGACCTGCCTGCAAGGCTCAGGCTGCATCTCCCTTTGCTTTCTTCAGAGCCCTGGAAACCAACAGGTACAACCACATCACAGCCACGTACTTCTTGCTTGCTGAAAGGATCCTGCGAGAAAAGCAAGAGAAAGAAATCCAGACGCGGTCCGCCAGCCCCAGCAACATCAAGGCCCAGTTTAGGTGAGAAAATGTCACTCTTACCAACAGGATGGTGGGTTTGTCAGAGTGGTGATGGCCTTATTGCTTCCGCCAGGGCTGCCATGGAGCAGGGGCTGTGCCCGTCAACCTGGCCAAGAAAGGCCCTTTGGAGAAGCAGTGTCATGCCAGGCTGTTTTCCTACACTGCTCTGGTCTTACATGTGTAATTGGGGCAACTTTGGTCAATGTCGCATTCCAGGAACCTTGTTCCTCGGTTAATGTGAACTAGTTCTTACAAAGGCCTAGGGTGTCACCCTGGCTCCCTTGTTGTCTCAGATTGGGGGTGGGGGGAGCTGGCGGCCACTCACCTGTGACGTGAGGGTGACAGCACTGTGCCGAGGGACAAGGCCAGAGCGCAGGTGTGCGGGAGGCCCCAGGCCAGGGCTGCCTGCTCAGTCCTTCCCCTCCGTGCTTGAGCCAAGCTCTGTCCTGGGCCCCAGCCCCTCATTAGAAGACAGTTTTCATGCCTGTGGTCTTGGGTAGGTTACTTACCTCTGTGTGTCCTGATTCCTTTGGAAAGAAAACTGAGTCAAAGTTACCTGCTTCCCAGGCCCGAGTTTCTCCTTGAGTGGCAGTCAGGGCGGTGACCAGCTGCGCATGGGCACTCCCAGGGAACTCCACTCCCTGGCTTGCTCATTCACAGTTCTTTGAAAAAGAAGAAGAAGAAAAAGATACTTATCTGAAAGGCGTGGTTAGAAAGAAATTGTATCCCCTGGTTTACTCCCCAAGTAGCTGGAGGTGGGCTGTCCGAAGCCAGGAGCTTCATCCTGGTCTCTGAGGTGGGTGCTGGGGCCCAAGAACTTGGGCTTTCCTCCACTGCTTTCCCACACGGTTAGTGGGGAGCACCTGGGACATGAACTGTAATGGGATGCTGGCATTGCAAGCAGTAGCTTAGCTTTCTGTGCCACAGTGCCCCCCACCCCGCCCTCTTCACTGTTCTTGCCTCTGGTCCTGCTTGTCGCTGCTCAGTGATGGCGACCCGATGTCAGAACCACGTGAGCGACCCAGCAGGGCCGCAGAGGAGGGAGAAGGCTGATGTTGGGCACGTTGCCTCTTACCATTTCCCTGGAGCTGCTTCAAGCTAGAGGCTGAGTTTGCATTTCACACCAAGTTGTTACCCAAACAGTAGTGTGTGGCTGAGGCTGCTGTAAATGTCTTGATTTCCGAGGAGCCGCTCCCCGGGGCTGCAGGACGCGCAGCACAGTGCATTCTGCACAGGTGGCAGAGCCTCATTTTCAGATTCATGGCATTTTTGTCATTTGGGTTGTAGCAAAGTTTGCTTACATTTTTAAAAACTTGATGGTTGGGTTTTGTAGCTTGAGAAGCAGAGAATCACGTATGCCAGTTGAGTGTTGCCTTTGTTCCTCAGTAGTCTCTATTGAAATTCCTTCGAGACTTCCCATTTGTGTTTGTAAACACTGAGCTTTTACACCATCAGGTAAAGCAGGAGCCCTGGACGCTTGAGGTGAGTGTCGCTGGCCACAGTGGCCCTGTGAGGTTGCAATCTGAGAGGCCAAAGCACAGCGCCCGGGCCCGGCTTCTGCTTGTGCTCGCCCACAGTGCTTCCCTCGTGGGCAACGCTTCTGCACCGAGGCGGTGGCTCGGCGTCTTCCCTTCTTTCCTGACAGTGACGCAGCTGTCTGGCCGTGTCAGCCCATCGCACCTCTGGGCTCCTTGCTCATGTGTACAGGACGGGGAGTGGGTTTGCAAGGCTGCTGCTTCCTCTTTGTGAAGTCTGTGGATGTCGTCCCAGTCAGTTTCAGCAAATATCCCTTGCTGGCACCTGCATGTGACCACGTGGCTTTTTCTGTTTCTGATCTGTTACACAGGCAGTCTTGGCCAACCAAAATTGATGTGCCCCAAGACCTTGAGGATGACCTCACAGCCACTCCTTTGTCCCATGCGACCGTCCCTCAGTCTCCTGCACGGGCTGCCGACAACGTCCTCAATGGCCACCGGGGCAAAGGTGGCCTCTGTGACTCGGCCAAGAAGGATGACCTGCCCGAGTTGGCTGGCCCAGCGCTGTCTGCCGTGCCACCCGCCAGCCTGAAACCCACAACTGGGGGCCGGAAATGTCTGTTCCGGGTGGAGGAGGATGAAGAGGAAGACGAGGAGGACAAGAAGCCCATGTCCCTGTCAACCCAGGTGGTTTTGCGCCGGAAGCCATCGGTGACCAACCGCCTGACGTCTCGGAAGAGCGCGCCTGTCCTCAACCAGATCTTCGAGGAGGGGGAGTCGGATGATGAGTTCGACATGGATGAGAACCTGCCTCCCAAGCTGAGCCGGCTGAAGATGAACATCGCCTCCCCTGGGACGGTGCACAAGCGCTACCACCGGCGGAAAAGCCAGGGCCGCGGCTCCAGCTGCAGCAGTTCCGAGACCAGCGACGATGATTCCGAGAGCCGGCGGCGACTCGATAAGGACAGTGGCTTCACCTACTCCTGGCACCGCCGGGATAGCAGCGAGGGGCCCCCCGGCAGCGAGGGCGACGGCGGGGGCCAGAGCAAGCCGAGCAACGGCAGTGGGGGCGCGGACAAGGCCAGCCCCAGTGAGAACAGTGCTGGTGGGGGCAGCCCTGCCGGTGGCTCGGGCGGCAACCCCACCAGCACCTCAGGCTCCACACGGCGCTGCGCTGGCCCTGGCAACTCTATGCAGCTGGCATCGCGCAGCGCCGGGGAGCTGGTGGAGAGCCTCAAACTCATGGGCCTGTGCCTGGGCTCCCAGCTGCATGGCAGCGCGCGGTACATCCTGGACCCACAGCACGGCCTGGCCTTCTCCAGCGTCAAGGTCCAGGAGAAGTCCTCGTGGAAGATGTGCATCAGCTCCACGGGCAACGCGGGCCCGGCCCCTGCCGTGGGTGGCATCAAGTTTTTCTCCGACCACATGGCGGACACCAGCACCGAGTTGGAACGGATAAAGAGCAAGAACCTTAAAAACAGCGTGCTGCAGCTACCTCTGTGCGAGAAGACCATCTCTGTGAACATCCAGCGGGACCCTAAGGAGGGGCTGCTGTGCGCCTCCAGCCAGGCCAGCTGCTGCCACGTCATCTGACGGCCTGGCCCGCCACCGCTCGCTTCCTCCTCGGCCTGGGAAGGGTGGCCTTCACCTTTCTCCAGCTCTTGGTCTTCTCGTTGAGAGTGGGCGTTCAGAGCAATTATTTATTACCTTTTCCTTTGCTCGCCCAGCGAGGTGACAATGCATGGTCTTTGTGCATGCTGCTATATGCTACCTTTCTTTTGCAGCCGACAAGTCTACTGTGTAATTTTTACATTCAGAATTTTAATGTGGATGATCAGGATTAAATCAAAATGTATATTTGGAACCTAGTATCCCTGGAGCACTTAGAAATTTGATGTTCTGAACTTAGCGAAAATAATGCCTTTGTTTGTCAGAAATCTAAATTCCTGTCCTGTGACAGCAACTCTGTGGCGTCTGAGACAGAACCAAAGCAATAATGCTGTACGGCCCAGGACCCGAGCCAAGGGGCACCTGCAGGGTGGAAGCCAGCCAGGGCTTCCGATGCCACCGGGAAGGGATGTGGCTTTGTAATGTGTGAGAGATTCATAAGGCAGCCACCCAGCCCCATGGGGCACGAGCAGACAATCTGGTGATGTGGAGAACTGCTGATGTCTTAGCTTTGCGTGTTAGCCCTCCCTCCTGTGTGACACTCTGTGGGCCTGGCACAGAGGCAGAGGTGCCCACACGGGCTGGCAAAGTCACAGCTCCATAGAGTAGAACTAGACAAAACTTGGTAGGGCTCGCTTTTTAGGAGTTTGGTAATTTGGTTGTCTCTCTTGTGATTTCCATTCCATCCTTTGGCTCAGCTAGCTATGAAAACTGATTCCTTAAAAAAATAAATATAAAGGGGTAGAATTCACATATAGAGCAGACAGAAATGCACAAAGCCTGCTTTCTGTTTTCCTAGAAGTCGTTTTGCTCTGCCTTCCTGCCAACACAGTAACCACAGAGCTCTGGCTCTGCAGCTGTCCCTGCATGGAGACCGTCGCACCAACCATCACCTCCGGGACGACACGCTCTCCGGGAGGAGCCTGGTACTGTATGCCATGCTGTGTCTGGAGGGGTCATCCAAGCAGCGCTTGGGGGCACTGGGGCCCTGGGCACCTTGCAACCCCTGTCACCCCTTCCAAGTGGGCAGAGCACCAGAGGAACGGGTTACCTTGACCCAGTCTCTCCCAGCACATGGTGACTGCTGTTTTGGGACTGTAATGTCTGACTGGGCACTCTCAATTTCACAGTGTACTTACTTAGCTAAGTAAAGTGTCACTTCACTCTTTTTATTTCTAGTCCTAGGCAAGCTACGTTTGAGCTAGAGCTCTAGTTCCTTGTGGTATTTATAACCGAAAGAGGCGAGAACAGACGTGTGGGTGAAGCCATAGGACACACTGGCTTAAATCCCTGAGCAGGGATCGTCTAAAGGGCCAGAAGTAACATGTGTGGTTCACACAGATAGTGTAACATCTCTCTGTTAAACGTAGCAGAGAAGTTTCTAAAGGGCATTGGCAATAAACTCTTTGTTGCAGCTGTTTTCCAAGCAATGTAAATACTTTTTCCTGTGACTTGGGAGAGCCTTGCGATGGCACCTTTTAACTAACCCGTATGTGTTTGGTTCTCAGTGGTTTTTTTATATTCTGATGTATATATGGTGCTCACTTTAGGATCAGCAGTGTTGGCCATTTCCGCTGCATAGCTGTATCATAGCCTTATTAGTTGGGTGTGGTTGGTTGCCCCGCGTGTGTGACGTCAGTCTGAGTGGTGTCTTACCCTCCCTCCTGTTCGTAAGTGGCTGACTGTGCATGTGTCGTATGTCACAGTATGTCGTCATGTAAAAGGGAGCGAGAAACCATGACATTCAGATACTATTGGACCAAACTACTTACTTGCTCTAAAGTCACTTGTACCCCTTAACCTGTCTTCAGAAGTTGCATATAGTTACAGTAGTGTATAAATTAAATATTGTGGAAAGGCAGTTAGTCTTGTATTTTTCTGTAAGTGTGTGTATATATATGTACATATATATAAAATTATGTACTTCTGGCAGTTCTATCTGTATTTAAAGATGTGACAATCTCGACACCGATTTTAAGAATAGCCCTGAGGCTGAAATGAATGATAAAGCTACTTCCATCTGGGAAGAATTGATGGAACGAGTACAGAATTATCAACTGATTGGGTCAGTTGCTTCCAGTGTTGGTGGCTTTTCCTCACTATGTGAACATCGACGGGTATGTGACAAATGGGGGGGAAACTCCAAGTAATAAAAAGTGGCATATTGGTGTTCAGCAATATAACCTGTGTCCCATGTGGCATATCTTCTGTGTTCCAGCGCAGGTGGGAGCTGGGCCCTCGCCCTGCAGCGCATGCCCTCTGCTCAGCGGCCCTGGTGCCCTGCCTGCCTTGCCTGCCCCTCCTCCCATTGCATCTACTTTCCTCGTTTGGCTGCTCACTGTGCTCCCTAGGAAGCCATTGGAACTGGCGCCAGCGCCCACCTTCTGTCACGAGTACTCACGTGCTGTCCTGCCCTGGGGGATGACCCCGTCCCGTCTCTCCGGCAGCCCTGGGGACTCTGCTCCGGTCACTCTCTCTTTCTCTTGCATCAGCCATCGCTGCTGCTCTCCTGGACCATTCCTAACACAAGAACAGGCATCTTGTCTCCAGCTGTCATCCTGATTTTCTATTCCTTTCCTCCACTGTCCACCACCCAAATTGTTTGTTTTGCTTAAGGTCAGCAGGGCTCACTACGTGCTAACTGGACAGTTTTTGAAAACCGGCTGTACTGAGGTGTACTTGCTGCACCACCCAGCCCAGCAGTTGTGTCATTCAGGTTGTAGTGTCTTCTCAGTTATGTAACCATTGCACCATGCATCACTTTCACTCCGGCTCCCTCCAGGAAGTCAGGTGCACAGCACACACTGTTCACGATGCCACTGCCACAGTGGTCAGCTTCCAAGCCCCCTTGTGTGCGTCACACCCCCTCTCACCCCCTCCGCGGTCCTCCATCACTGCCCTCTGCTCTTCAGTCCCTAAACTTGGAATGCCCCAAACCTTGACTCCGTGCCCTTCTCCCTCTGCATGTAGTGCACAGCGTCTTGTTGAGCTTATCCAGGCTACTAGCTGTCTGCCAGAAGAACCCCAAAACATACTGAGCCCTCCGTCCCCGCAAGGAGCACCGAGTGGCAACAGCCTGTTTGACTTCTTGGCTTGGATGCTGCTCATCGATCACGATTCTCCCAGGTCCTTAACCATTCCTCTTTCTGCTTAAGCCTTACTCGGAGCACCCCATCTCGGCAGAGGGCCACTCCAAGCCCTCAGTAGGTTGGCCGTTTGGGACTGGCCAGAAGCTGGGGCTTCCTTCCCCCTCCCTGGAGAATGCTTGAGCCTTGGAGCTCTGCCTCCATTCCCCTTTCTGTTCTTTGTGCTATTTTCATTTTCACATGTGTATACATTTTTGCTTCATGTGGCCAGTTTTTTCTAAAAGAGATGACCAATTGAGGGGTCACAGCCACTGAGTGTAGGTCTGCCAGCAAGACACATCATCTTTTTGCTTGTTTGAAAAAAGCACTTCATTTACAAAGTGTGTTTTCATTGGATATAAAGATTGGTGGGTGGACACTGGTTTTGTCTTGTCTAGAGCTGGATGTTGCTGCACTCAGGTAAAGTTCAATACCACTTTGCCGTCCAGATACTTGGGGTCACCTAGCTCCTCTTGGGCTTGACCTTGACACTCTGGCAGGGCGGGCCCACAGTGGCCTGCAGTTTGGGCTAACCCAGCTCCCTGGTGCCCGGAAAGTTCTGAGCATTGCTCAGCCTCACGCGCTCCCATGGGCGCCTCTGCAGGCTCAGGGAGTCTCCCTACCCGCAAATGACCACTACTTCCTCCGGCTGTGGGTTTCTGAGCTGTCAGTGCAGCTCCGTGTCTTTCCTGAGAACTGTGTTTACACTGCTTCCTCACTGCCACAAGACCACGGGGCTCTGCCCCCCGGGCTTCCCCCCCAGGCAGTGAGCTGGCAGGCGCAGGGCTTACCTCGCTTGGTTTCCTGTGTGTTCTGTCGCTTCCCGTACTTTGCTTGCTTTTCCAGTTGATTAAGGCAGAAGGATCAGTCACGTTCCCCTCACTCCACGTGAAGCAGGGCTGACCTCCAGGCCCAAACTTGTCCCAGACTAGATGGCCTGGTCCTTGTGTGGTGGCCCCTAAGACCCTAGGCTGTGGCCTGCCCACATTGACCCTCCCCTCCCCTCCTCCCAGGCCACTGCCCTGACCAGCCTTCTGCAGCAGGCCCAGCTCTGCCTGTTGCTGTGCTGGGGGCCCTGGGTTAGCGCATCGGGCCGCTTCACTTTGGCAGCTGGGATGGATGGGTGCCATGCAGCCTTAGTGGACCCCTTCCCAGCACCAGAAAAAGCCAGACAGGCCCTTCCTCCAGTTCCCTGAGGTTCCAGACGTCCCAGTCCCTCATGTCCAAGCTGCCCAAGTTGGGTGTGATCCATGAGGCCTGATCTAACTGATCCACGAGGCCCCTCTTGAGTCCCTGGTGTCTGGCTGCTTCTAAGGCACCACAGCAGGTCCTGCTCTTGTTGGGCATGCATTTGACGATCCCTGTCCTGTGGCCTTGGCCTTCCTGCTGGAAGAGCAGGAGCTGCAGGGGGAGAAGGCAATGGCCCGGACACCTAGCTTACCTCTCAGACGTGGGCACGTTATGGCTGGGCTCCCAAGCTGGGCTGCTGGGCTGCAGGGCTGGGTAGCCCTGATTGCTTCTGCAGGAACACGAATGGGTTCTCAGGCCTCAGCCGGTACGCCCCTAATGGGGGGTTGGCAGTGGAGTCGTTCAGACAGACAGCAGGTCCCTGCCTGACTGCCCGCCTGCCTGCCCTGAGGCCACAACCCTGCAGAGGCCCAGGGTCCACGTCACGGACCTTGACATACAATGGCTGCATGAGGAGGCAGTAGGCTGCGAGACGGAACTCGAGGACAGCTTATCTCAGCTCCAGGCAGGTGAGTCGGGCACGTGTGACAGTTGGGGCAACCAGTCCCTGGCCACCATCCACAGCTAGGCACAGCAGAGCTAGAGGTCTGGCTGCTCTAGGCCTGGGGTGCAGGGCCCTGCCCAGGCAGGTTTGGCATGTGGGCCCCCTGTGGAGCCTTGGCAGGGCAGTGTAGAGCTGGTGGCCACAGGGAGAAGGGGCTGCTCCCTGAGGCTTCCAGAAGGCCACCTCGGGCCTCGCAGGCAGCTGGCCCCAGCACTCAGGTGCTCTGTGCGGGAACTGGGCCGATCCTCTGTAGGCTGCCAAGGATCTTGGCCCATGATCTCTGTTCCCTGTGAAAGGTGAGCAGGCAAGGGCTTGGCATCCCCAGACCCCTCAGGTCTCCTAGTGTGGCCGAACCCCACCCCCCTGAGTTGCAGGCCCTCATCCAAGAGGTGCAGGGCATGGACCTGGTGCCCATGCCCTTGGCAGACAGCCTTGCCTGCTGGGTCACTCCCTCACCAGGCTGTGGATGAGCAGGGGTCTCCCAGCCTTTGGGGACAGGGTGGACTAGGAATAACCTGTAAGCCTTCAGGGTGTTGGGGAGAACTGTGGCACGTTCTCCTTGGAATGGTGGCCACAGTGTCGGGGAGTAGTCAAAGGTGGCACAGCCAGGTCACCAGTGCATCAGGTCAGTGGCCGGGAGAGCTGGGGGCAGGGGTAGGGCAGTGCTTTCAGATGCTGAGAGCTACCCAGGGGAGCAGACTGCAGGTTGGCCTACTCCTGGCTGGCTTCCAGGGGCGGTTAGAAGACAAACACCGTCACCTAGGTATGCCGGGACCCCAAGAGATCAGCCACAGCAATGCAGCCTGACTCTTCCCCGTGTCCATCAGCCCCGGTGGTGCTCCTGGCTGGGCTCCAGCTCAGGCACAGGTGCAGATGCTGCGCAGGGCAGTCCTGAGGGCAGGGAGGCTGGGGCCTCCAGGACCTGCTGCTTTCCCACCAACCTTACTCACGTGGTTGTTCCCCCGCAAACCAGTGTGGTGAGACAGGGATTTGGGGTCAAGGCCCTCATTTCAACTCTCGTCCTGCAGCATGCACAGGAACCAGGCCAGGACGAAGCTCTGGCCCTAGGGCCTCAGGCCTGTGTTGGTGGCTGCCACGCACTGACACAAGGCTGTTCCGGAGACTGCAGGCAGAACGTGCCCACTGCTGCCTGGGGAAGGGCAGGGCCAAGGCCGATGCCAGGAGTCCATGCCGCAGGTAATGGCAGCTGGTAAGAGCAGGGTTGTGCCCAGAGCTGGCACCAGGGAGGAGCATGCTGTCCCCTTACCTGCCCACCTTCCCCTGGGCCCCACGACCTCAGCAGCCTGTGCCGGGGGACAGCAGGCCCTGGCCTGGCTCACGCTGCTGGCAGGATGGACAGGAAGATTGGCCTTGGCTCCAGAGTATTCCTCACAGCTGGGCCATGGCAAAAGGCCAGCCAGGGGCCTTGTAGTCATAGCCTCTGCTCATGAAGAAGGGAAGCCCCCATCCCTGACACAGCTTGGAAGGGGGACAGCATTGCCAGATGGGCGAACCCCCCTCTGTAGCCTCCAGTCCTATGGCAGAGTCAGGGCAGCTGGCCCATTGCCTGGCGCAGTGGGTTTGGTGCACTTGTGACCACAGCCCGGTGCCCCCCACGGGAGAGCCCCCATTTCAGCTGCCACCTCTGGTGCCCACCTCAGGCCAAGCCCCTCCTCTGCCACCACCTCACCACTGCACGAGGCACCACCTGATCTGGGGCTCAGAGCATGGGAAGGCACGCAGGAACAGAGAGGTGCAGGTTTTAATAGCTCGGTGACCACCATGTGTGCGGTAAGTTTGCTGACAGAACAGGAGTGGAGGGGAGGGGGAGCCAGTGGGGTGGGGGCACCTCAGTTCACTCACTGCAGCACCCAGCGGAGCCCACCTTCGCCCACCTTCGCCTCTGGGCTTCTATGACATGCACGGTGCACAAGCAGCACCCTGCCATAGTTGCTGGGCCATGGTGAGGTCGGGAGTGGCTGTCACCTTCTGTGAGGTCGCGGTGCAGCACGATGCAGAGGAAGTGTGTGGGGCACAGGAAGGACCTGAAGGGGCAGGGCGGCTGGCTGGCACTCAGGTCGTTGTCTCCTGCCTGGCTTCCTTGGGCTCCTCCTTGAGGTTCTCGGCCACAAGCTTCATCTGCTGTTGAGAGAACACAGGGCCCAGGTGAGCCTACAGGTGAGCCGTCCTCAGCTGCTCGGGCAGGCGTGGCCCTCCCAGGAGCTTATGTCCATCTGGGTCTCCCTAGGGACACTAGGGACCTAGACGAGAATCCGAGTGGCTGGCACTTGAACGCGTGCTCCAGTGTGGGATGCCAGCATCATAGACATTATGGAAACCTCACTGGCAGCACCACAGCAGACGGTGAGACACTGATGTGGCTGGCAACTCTGCTGCCTTGATGTCCAGGAAGAGGGGTGTGGGGGGCAGGCCTGGGAGAGGACCGGTACAGCCTGAGGGGCACAACCTTGGTAGTGTGGCCAGGGCAAGTCTCCAGTGCACAGGGATAGCAGGGCTGTGCATGGGGTGGGGCAGTGGTGAGGGCTGACACGCCCAATCCTCATACCTGCCACAGCCCCGCAGCCCACTCAGCACCATCTCCTCCCAGGAAGGGGGTACACTCATGGGCCAGGATGGAAAGCCCCTGCATCCACAGGCCCATGCACTCCCTGCCTCACTCCCACCCCAGGCGGCAGTCGCCCTGGCTGCAGCTTGGCCCTAGTTATGAATTGGGCTGAAGACACAGGCACAGATTGCGGTCACAGCTATTGACTTCAGCAAAGACACAATGACATTCTGAGTGTAAACACTGCAGGAGCCCTGAGCGCCACAGGGCTGGGGTCTACACTACACACTGCCTGGCCTGCAGAGGGGTGCCCTTCTGCTGGCTAGTTAAGGACCCTGTTTTCTCAGGATGCTGTCTCCTGCTAGGTTGCCTGGGTAGGTCCTGGAGGTCCGTGGAGTCTTGGGAGGTCCCACCCCTCGTAAGTCCACTCTGGCATTCACGGGCAGATCTGAGCTGGGCCCCTCGCCCTTGTGTACCCACCGCCCAGCTGGGCTCACAGGACTGCTTCTGATAGGCAGATGGGTGACCATGCCGTCACAGCACAGTACATTGGGGGTGGCTCCTCTACAGGGCTGCCCCCGGGAGCTGATGTGTCCTGGCCCTGTGAGTCCCAGTTACAAGCCTAGCCATGCAGCATGCTGTAGCCGTGGCTCTCCCGTGAGCCACTTTCTGCTTCTGCCAACTTGCCTGCCTAGCGCTCTGGGTCTGAAGGGAACCCCGACGGCAGAGCTGGGCTCACAGCTGAGCCCTGGAGCAGGGATCTGCTTAAAGGGAGAGAACAGGAATATGTCTTCGGAGAATCATATGAAATCAAGGGCTAGATAAATGAATGCGCAGGAACACTGAGGACAAACGCCCCCCAGCCTGTCACAGGATCCTGTGGCCACACTGCCCTGGCATTCCATGGGGGAGGAAAAACAGAAAGGGGAGCACAGGAGGCTTCTTTTGGGGTGTGCTGCTGCACAGGGCTGCTGTGAAAACCCAGGTCATCAGATGACACTGGGTGACAGGGCGCCAGGCCTCGCAGCAGCTGCTGCAGAGAGCCCTGCTTGCCTCTAAGACCAAGCCCTGGTGGACCCTTGGGGGGCTGCCCCTGCCATACCCCCATTTGCTCTTGTAGTGTGTTCCCTACGGTCCCCCAGCCCCGCCACCGAGGGCAGTGCCTGAAAGACGCAGAGTCCCCTAGGATACAGATGGGGGCGGGGTGAGCCAGGGCCCATGGCATGGGGCTCAGGTACCATCACCCCCTCCACATCCATCCTAGAGCAAGGCTTCTTTCAAAGCCACAAGCCACCCATGGCTAGAGAAGGACCCTGGCCTTATCTAGCCAGGATAACATGGCCTCGTCAGCTGGGCCAAGTCCATCCCCCCTCGCCAGCGGGGCTCCATTGGCCTCACTGGAGTTTAGTGGTCCCTGAGCAGGGCCAGCCTCCGAGGCTGAGGGGCACCTGGGGTGCAGCTTGACTTCTGGTGCTGCATGACCTGCTGGGAGACTCCTGCAGCTGCAGCTCAAACATTAAGCTGGGTAGCATGGAGCTTCTGGTCCACTGGCCTGGCCCTAGGTGGGCATTCAGAGGCCACGAGGCCAGGGTAGGGCCCTGCACTTATTCTGGGAGAGCAGGCCAGGGCTGCAGCCTTGGGCTTGCCCACAAGGTGGGCAGACAGAAGCAGACGTGCTTGGTGCTAGCCTGGCCTTTGAACGGCTTCCCTCGGGTAAAGGGACTGCTTCCTGCTACCACGGGCTGCCTCTCCGGGAAGGGGCCACGGACCCTGCTCCCTGTGACAGAAACAGCAAAGTGACAGGGACCTGTAGCTGCCATAGCCCAGCTGCAGCCCCTCCCTGCAGACTTTGCTTTAGGCTTCTGATGCGGAAAGAACCTCAGGGAACACTTGGTCCTGTGGCCACTTAATCCTGGGACCTGGTCAGACGGATTCCCTGGTCTGCGGGGCACCCAGGACTCTGCATTTGTAACAAGCCTTCAGTTTCACACTGGCCCTTGGCTCTTTGAGATAAGCAAGCTGGGTGCCCATGGTCCCCTCCCGGACCACACCGTGGCTCCGCTCTGGCTGCTGTGGGCCCAGGCTGCCTCCTGCGGCTCGGCTCTTGGTCTCTGCTCTTTAGTAACAGGCGAAGGAGTGAGTGGGTGAGAGCAACGTTACCCCCTTTAAAAAACCCGGGCTTCCTCAGAAAGCCTTAATTAAATCCTTCATGAAAGTACATGCAGAGTAATGCACACAGCTTTTCCAACTACACACACACACAAATCACCCCAACTCCTGATTCATTACAAGTCATCAGTCACGCTCCAAATCACTGTGCACAAAGCACAGAGCGACGTGCGCCACCGTCGGCAGCCACCCTGGCAGGCCCGCGACGGTCAGAACCCAGGCAACGGGCAGGCTGCGTCTGGATCCCTTTGCCCTGAAGAGAATAAAAAGAGTTCCTTTCCGTTTTCCTAATATCCCGTCATTTCACTTGAAAGGCAGAGTGACGAAGAGGGAGCTCACCCATGTCCTGACTGGTTCACTGTCCAACGTCACAACAGTGAGGACGGGGTTTCGTCTAGGTCTCCCACGTGGGCTCCAGGGACCCAGGGACATGAGCAGGAAGTCGGACTGGGGATGGAGCAACCAGAATTTGAAATGATGTTCTAACGTAGGGTGTAGCCATCCTGGGTGGTGGCCCATCCTACTGCATCACAATGTGGGCCCCAAGGTTTTTTTTTTTTTAATTTTTACTTATGATCATTTTATTTGAAAGGGGAGAAGGAACGAGAGAGGAAGGATGAGGGGCAATCTTCAATCTGCTGGTTCACACCCCAAATGCCCACTACAGCTAGGGTGGGACCAGGCTGAAGCCAGGGCCTGGAATGCAATTTGGCTCTCCCACGTGGGTGGGAGGGACCCAAGTACCTGGGCCCTCAGCAGCTGCCTCCCAGTTCTAGCTCCCAGATAGCTAGAACCTTCTATAGGGCCAAGCTTTGAACCCAGGCGTTCCAACATGGTTTGTGGGCATCTCTAGCAGCATCTTGACCACTCTGTCCAACACCTGCCCCCAGAGAGTTTATGAGACTTAAACAATGTTTCCCCCAGACCTAGGACAGCCATGGTGGACCCCACGGCATAGTGGCCCGCCAAAGTCCTAGCTTGGGGACCCTGCCATAACCCTTTTTGCTCAGGGTGGTTTAGCCCCATGGCATGGAATCCAGTCAGAAGCCAAGTGGGAATTATAAAGCAGAGGAGCAAGTGGCCACACAAAGACCCAAAGTCTCTAGGACCCAGCAAGCTATGACTAATCCTAAGGGAATGAGACACCACCCCCGTCAGGGGCTCCCAGTCAGCCTCAACAGGTGCATTGTGACAACCTGCGTCAAGGCTGACAAAGGCCTGGGAGGGACATCCTCACACGGAGAGCAGGAAAGACAGATGAAGGTGACGCCAATTCTATGTGAGGAAGAGGGACATTACTATTTTAGCCCGCAACGGTGTAAAACTAGGATAATGACCAGCTTGCCCCTAACTGGGGCTGAGCCCAAGGCAGGAACACACTCTCCCCTACTGCACTCTCGCCAGAGCGCCCAAGGAATGCTGCCACTGGGGACAGCTGTCTGTTCAAGGGCTCACCTGCTTCTCTGAGCCCACGCAGCAGGAAACTCCATAGCATAATGGTTTAGAGGAGTCTCCTGCTTTTAGCTGATGGTCAGCTGTCTTCCGAAGAGCTACTTAAAAAAAACTACTCAAAAAAAAAGAAAAAGGCAGGTCAGTGCAGTGACACTGTAAGCTCATCTACCTTTGGTGCTGGTTCATGTCCCGGCTGCTCTACTTCTGGTCCAGCTCTCTGCTTATCACCTAGGAATGCAACAGAGGATGGTACAAGTCCTTGGGACCCTGCACCCATGTGGGAGACCTGGAAGAAGCTCCAGTCTCCTGGCTTCAGATCGGCTCAGCTCTGGCCATTGCAGGAGTGAACCAGCGGATGGAAGACCCTCCTCCCTCCTCTCTCTCTGTCCCCTTGACTCTCTGTAAAATCTACCTTTTAAACAAAAACAAGTAATTCTTTAAAAAATAAAAAGAGGGGAGGGTAGAGGAAAGAAAAGGAGAGTGGAGAGGGGAAGGCAAGGGAGAGAAGAGGGGAGCGGATAGAGGAGGGGAGAACAGGAGAGGGCGGGCAGAAGGAAAGAGGAAACAGTGATAGAGGGAAGGAAGCAAGAAGAAAAAGCAGGAAAGACAGGAAGAGACTCCTTGTTGTGCTGGAGAGGCCCCTGGGTGCCCACACAGAGGCCCACACCGGGTGCCCAGCACCTCGCCTAAGGAACAAAGGTATTTCAAGACTTAGGGCTTGCAGCTAATTTATTATCCCACATGTAATACTTGTATCAAGGAGTCATACTCTGTCCACTTAATGCCAAAAAAAAAGTTCTGATTTTTTTAAGGGCCTCAAATATATGGATGAACTTGGAAGACACTGCTTCTTTAGGTAAAGCCAGTGTTAGGAGCGTTGTTATTCTGCGTGGTATGTGTGTGCATACTGACAGAAACAGAAATGTGTGTGTGAGAGTTAAGAAGCCAGGACCAA